ATACCTAAACTACACAAATCACCTATAAAATTCCGATTTATAACAGGTGCAAGAACAAGTAGTCTTAAGCCTTTATCCGTGGAACTCACAAGATTATTAACGTTCATCAAAACACACTTCATCAATTATAATAATACTATCAAATGTAAGAACACTCAGTTCATAGGATACTGGGCAATCAATAATATTAATATCAGCGAACAGCTTCAAAATTAGGCATTGGATATATGAATGACTGTTTCAGCCGACTTCAGCTATATGTTAATCAATCTACCTACATTCTAACATTAATGTATGATATGTAATAGAATATCTTCAAATTTTGTGTATAAAACAGCAACAAAATGTCATCGCTACAATGATTACAGAACTTTTCTATACCAATAGTACGAGAATTACAAAAATTACAATTATTACACGATTGCAGATATAGTCTATTCACTAGACTACTTATTAAAAAACAGTTATTGCAAATTTTCAGAATATATATTTACACAAAAAACCGGAGTTCCACAGGGAAGCAATGTTAGTCCCTTACTAGCTGATCTTACGCTATCCTATTTCGAGAATATATCTACTCCTGAATATTATATATAAACAAATGATTGCAGATAAAACATTTAGGATATATCGGACGATATAGCTTATCATCACAGATAAAAGTAGCACGATTTAGTTCTTGACCAAACTCAATGAGATTTACAAAAAACATTTTAAAGTTAGAATCAACACATAGAGACGAATACAACTGTAATTACTTAGACCTAGAAATTAATATCAAAGCAAACAAAATATATACTAAAATGTATAACAAAACAGATAGTTTTAATTTTTCAATAAAACGTTTTCCTAACGCATCTACAAACATTTCATGCCGTATTAAATTAAATACAATCTACTCAGAAATTCTTAGAACAGCTAGAACATGCTCCAACGTGGAGGATTTCATAGACAGATTAAAATTAACTAACAAAAAGTTAATAGAGTCAGGTTATGAAGCCGAAACATTTTCTAATTGTTTCATGAAATGTTTAACCAAGAATAATTTCATAATTCATAAATATGAACTTCAACTAGATAGAATTCTCCGCTCTGTCTAAAAATCTTTCAGCAGTCTTACGTCAGAAAAGCAACATACCAGTATGTCATTGAAATATGATAAATCAACCTTGGAATACAAATGTAGGGACTAAACCAACAAATTGTTATTTTCCATTAAAAATGATTCCATTGGAAAGTGATGCAATGATAAACAAGATAAACAAACCTATAAACAGAACACTGAGAAACTCATTTCATTTATTCCAATGCTGTGCAAGAATGCGGTCAACAAACGGTGAGTGTTTCAAAATTTGAACAATAATCAAAATTTTATAAGTATAAAGCACATCTTTTGTTCGAAGACGAGGATAAGAAGAAAAGGTAATGGGTGAGTGGTAATATGACTTTGTCTACTAAAAAATTTTATAGAAAACATGATAGCCCTCATTACCAGGTAAAAAATTTCTTTAAACTCAACTTGAATAATTTTCAAAACATTTAAGTATTCCCTAAAACGTTTTTTCAAAAAAACTTTTTCAAAAACTTTTTTGATTCTGTCGTATTTAAACTCGTTTTCCTACCCTTCCTTACTGATGAGCACGGAGGGAGGATATACCGTGGTTGTCTAGCTTCCGTCTAAGGGCACGTGCGAAACGGAACTAGACTACTTCCTTGAAACATATAAAGATATAACTAAAAGATATATAAATAAAATATAAAAATAAAATTAAGATTTTAATGTTTCAGTATGTGTATATTATAACAACAGGTTTGAAAACATACAAATTTAATGAATCATAAAAGTCAAACATGATTAAATAACATGCATATCACATTAAGAAAAGGTGGGGCATGCGCTCCACGCCATGCCCACCTTTTTTTAACCCAGGAACCCATTCTGACCTTATGGCTGCCTCCAACGTCTCTGGTGTGCATTCTCTGATCTACTAGTGCTTTCCATAGAGCGTCTGAGATGAGATTAGCAATCGAGCCAATTGGCCAGCCAAATACCTGAAAAAGTAGATGGTGGGTTTTTGTGGGTAACAACGTGGTTTGAATTGCGACTGATCTTCGCATCACTCTCGTTCACGGGCACGGCCCACGCTGATCGTGTGGGCGGAGACGCACTGTTTGAGTCCAGACTATGAGACTGCGGGAGAAACAACAGGGCCGACAGAGCATACTCTTGGAACCCTCGTCTGATTGTACTAATCTGTTTTTTCTCTTCGTTGCTTGGAAAGGCAGGGCGCACCAGTAAAGTCTCCTCTTGTCTAGAGCGCGTTTTACTTTGCGACTCGAGCTATTTAGGCGCTCGACTGCAACTTGTCCGCGCCGCCACCGCTGAATCGTTGCAAAAAATAGGTTTCTATGCCGCTGACGATGATTAAAAATAGCCAAATGCTATGGGTCGAAAAGTATGAACGCATTCTTTGCCTTATTTGTATCGTTTAATTGTAGTAAAGTAGACCCGCATAGTGTGGAAGGAACAGTTGTATCGAACCCCGCCCATTCGATCAGGATAGACTCTAACTTTGAGCATTTTCTTCAGCCCTATCTGGAGCCATGACCTGCATTCATATCAACGCTGGCCTCGATATGAAGCGGTTGGAGTGGGCGCAGATCTTTGCCCAGCTAGGGATGCTACCCGTATTCCGCTGCCCTAAATGATAATCTGACTGGAGCTAGATGGAAGAAAACGTCGCTTCATTTACTGGGTTACTTGAAGGAAAGTCTGGGCCGATTTTCTAGGCAGGACAACTGAAGACTCCTTGTGCATCACTACTAAAAATACTATACCCCTTCCCAAACAGGGAAATAGGTTCCCTACCCCGGAAGCCCTTCCTCAAGAGTTTGCACAAGGAGTCCTTCATATGCCCCTGGCACCGGAACTTTTACACAGTTTTGACTTACCGTTTCAAAGATAGCGTATTGGTCACCGAGGTTCATTCCAGAGACCAGACCCGGTCCTCCGACTAATCCGCAGGCGATATTTGAGATGATATTACCGTAAAGGTTCGGCATGACCATCACATCGAACTGCTGCGGTCGAGAGACCTACTTTGAATTAACTCGAGCTTCGAATCGACAAAAACGGAATTAACTTGTAACACTTACGAGTTGCATACAGGCATTATCGACAATCATTGATTCGAACTCGATCTGTGGATATGATTTGGCCATCTCCTTTATTACCTGAAGAGTCGAAAATTGTGTTACTGGAAAATGCCCTTTGACGTAGGTCGGTGAACGCCCACTTGAATCCCGGCACGCCCACCGCGAGGGCTGCACGGTGAATACAGGAAGGCTGTCATGGTTGCATATGCTTCACTCCCTAGGGACTTCCATACGAAGCCAGTATTTGGCTCGCATAAAACCGAGGGAACCAGCTGTTGAACAGTTTTTTTTTTCAATACAAGACATATCCATCGGGTGGCGAATTCTTTTTTGCTAAATAGGGCTCCCTCCGCCTTCAAACGTCCTCTATAGCCACGACTGCGCCCCCCCTCCCTTCCACCCTCTTTATCCCATTCTGCCCAACATCTCTTTGGGTTTCTCGCCCCAGCTGTCCCCCACACTCTTCTGGGCGAGTTCTTCGCCAGGAATTAGCCCGTCGAGGAAGCTTGAGAGAATATGCAGATACATAATGGCACTTGAATTCGGAGAAATTCGGAGAAAAAGCTCAACACCGAAAACATTTACAAGTACGATCCGCCTCGAGCGACTGACACAACCCGCCTGTTTGCTCGGACTCAGTAAGGTCTGGCACAGAGAATCTGTCCGAAATTTCCCTCTCTGTGGAAGTGGCGCCACCTACAGCCGCAATTGGTGCGCCATTTGGAGACGTTCCTGCGAACGTAAGTTTTGGCACAATAACAGCTCATTCCCATTAGAAGTTGCCAATATGGTGCGGACAACCATTGAAGGGAATAGGCTGGCTACGTAGGAATGTAGGGATGCCTCCGCTGGACTTTCGTGATCATCCCTTGCCCTGAATAGTACACCGTGGTCGAGAAATTTATGCGATTTTTGCAACAATATGTCGGGTATTCACGTGGTTTTTTACAAATTGATCGCTGCGGACGATAGGTTGTGCGACGAGCCTTGAATTGGCATGCTGCGTAGGCGCTCTTTCTTAACAGTGATGCCCTCCTGAGCCCGCAACAACTGGCAGGAATGACTATTCTAGCAGCGTTCCAATTTACCCCTTTTCCTACGTCCGGTCGTTTGCAGGGACCATGGCTGTTCGCTATAGAATTCCATGGATACTCACCTGAAGGAAGAGGCCATCTCCCAGTTTCTGAATGTTCGCTTTATGCACGGCCGTCACTTTCTTACGATTGTTCAGTGCAGCATACTCGAACGCCATACGGGCAAGTCTCTCGATACACGGACGAGTTACAATCTGAATTTCAAGAATTTTGAAAGAGACGCCCATTAATGAGGCATGTGCTAGTTTAACCTCTGTTCCTTCCTAGAATTAGAGTCAGAGAAGGTAAAAATAGAAAAAAACCAGTTCACTGATTCAATGCAGAAGTAGAATAATTTACGCTGGTCGGGTGGACGGAGTCAGACGCACAATGTGCCTTCATTTTTGAGGTGCTCTCGTCTTTGGCAGACCTATGATGAAGGCACAATGGTGGTCCCATCTCCGCCCACCGACCAACGTGGAATATGCATTCAGGCTTCCATCTTTCTACTCACTTTGATGCTTTCGACGATTCCTGGCAAAGTCTCGTGTTCGAGTCCAGAGTATTCACCCTCGGTATTTTCCCGAATCAACACGATGTCGATATCCTAAAAACAGCTAAATTATACTTATTAAATCTCTACTCGAAAAAGAATTGTTGAAATAAATACCTGATGCCTTGTGGGTATTGTAGGAATCGAGACGCAATGAAGGATATTGGCGTAGAGATCGAGTTTTGTGCGAAGTTCGACATTTCGGGATTTGAATTCTGGATCGTCATGTTTGGTCTCGATGTTACCCTGTAACACATACATACCATGTTCGCTGCGGACGCTGGGGCTGTTCACGAGAGGGGGCTGTGTTCAGGAGGCCACCAGCTTTTGGGTGTGTCACCAGCCGTGATCGCTGCGCATGCTTCCAAGCTACTGCGTTCACCCGGCTGCGGAGTCAGCTGCCAATTTGTGTCTTTCTCATCTGTGCGCGATTCATCCCTAGCTGCCAATACAAACACGAAAAGAACATTGGAGAAAGACAACACGCCAAAACTAACAAACACGCAGCATGGTCCGTTCGCCTATCCGATCCAAGACGATTCATTGTACTCGCCAACTCCAGGCTCTCTCAAGTGGAGCTACAGGGTGCGCGAAACAAAGACTCATTAGGGCGAGAGTTGAGAACAAATGAAATACTCGAGGTAGAAAGAAAAGCGTGCACATGACAACAGCCATGGCCACTAAATATAAGCATTAAGGAATGGGATTTAGAATCCAATAAAGGAAAGATATCGATCAAGTGTGCAAAAAAACACGTGTATTGGAAGGAAATTTATGTACGAACATTAGGTGTTACTGCGGGATATTGGGTTATACACATGACTGGGTGAAAACAGAATACGCCAGTTAAGCGGGATGTGTCAAAAGGAAGGTCATTGTTAAAAGAGTCCCCGCCCACACGATTACCCGGAGTGTATATTTAGCTATTTTATGAGACCGTCATTGCGTTCATTTCAGGGGTCAAGTAAGTGTTCAGGGGTTGGGGGTTCCCGTCTATACGATGGTATGGAATATTGAGTTTTGGGTAATAGGTTTAGCTTTGGTAGAGACTGGGACCCGTTGCATAAACAGGTTAGCTCTAGTTGTTCAGCTGCGGCACCAAACGCCTAGTCCACGTTGGTTGAATGGGCGGAGATACCCAAGCGTTTCGTCTTACTTATAGGCGTGCTCCTCCCTTCAATACAGCGGAGTTCGGCGTTATTGTGGATTGCAAATGGTTGGGTATTACGGTCCATACGATCGGCATGGGATGGACTTCCATCCACGTAAAGAACTCATTTTTGCTGTGTTACGAATCGAACCTGCGGACTGTGCTGGTGCGGCGCCGTTGATGTAGCCCCTGCGCCAAGGCAAGTCCCGTCCCGTGTCAGATTGATGGAATAATCAGGCAGATAGCCTTTTCAGTACGTACCTTGATTGCGACTCCATTCCTTTTGATGGCTATAATTGCAGCATCCAGGTCTCCTTCACCCAAATTCGCACTGACTTGTACCGTTTCGAAATTGATAGGAGCCTGAGCATGGAAAATGTGATCAAGTGGTGGCAGTACTGTTGAACTGATAGTACATACATGACAGTATTTAAATATGGTACGAATGTGATCGATCATTTCTGGTCCGATTCCATCTCCTGGCAACGCAACAACTGTGTGACGGCCACCGTACTTGGCAAGCGGCAGCTGAAAGGTGGTAGTGCTGAACTAAATGAGACTGTTTTTAGAGATGAACTTACTTACCCTTTCCCCAGGCAACTTGTGAGTTCTGATCGCCGCTACTGTCGCGTTTTTTGTAGGGCTGGCCAGGACTGAAGAAACGCTCAACGGCCGTGCAGCCAGTGGGGTGAGCCGCGATAACATACCCTCTCTGGAAATGGAAAGTTTGTACGAGGAAATCGCATAATATATCCCCAAGCCACATAGAAATGTAAAATGTTTAGAGCGAATAGGAAGCAGCCTGATGAATCATTATGAAGGAATGAATCGATGGAGCAGTGACATCGCCAAAACTAGGGTTACGCGAGAATTCAAGTAGGCTTATTCTTAGCAGAATACGCAACGTTTTTTTATGACCGGCGAAGATTTTACTTCTATAGGAAATAATGACTTTCATTGGTGCCCTCTATGCAGAGGTGTAGGTGGAGGTGATATAGTGGCATATGGTACGCTTACCAAGCGCCCGGTCCGAGGATGAGACCCCAAATCGGCTCTCACCCAGGCCAACCAGTCTTCAGTCTTCCGGGTACTGTAAAGTGAGGGGTACCAGATTCACTTGGTAGGATAAGAACACTGACTTGTACATCGGCTGGCCCCGCAAGTCATTGTATAGGCCACATCGCATTCAATAAGCCACTACGATTCTGAATGGAAGCAGAATGAGTGCCACATCTCAGAGGTTCATCAAGGGCGGACCCTTATCCTTTTATAGCCATGAAGACTTGGGGGCCAGCCAATGTACGAGTCACTGTTTCTCTATTTTGACGATTTTGGCAGCGAATAACCTATCCCGGAAGTATGGAAGGCCTGATCAGGTAAATTATGTAGGCTCAAGAGGATTTCATGAGCCTTAAATGACTCAAGACAGTGTACGTAAGGAGTTGCTGTTGAGTACGGTATTTTGCAGCGGCTACCATGGATGCAGACCCTGAGAGCTTTTCAGGAGGCGGGAGAGACTATTATTGCCGTTATTGACTAAGAAGTCTAACTAAACAATGACGTGAGCCGTTTCGCTCAGAGAATGACAGGAAAGATCAGCGAAAAACCAATCATTCCTGCATCCTCGTCTGAGTGCGCTAAAGTGGGTACGAAAACTCATCTATTGAAAAAGAAATGAAATTTCAGAAGAACTGAATAAACAGGAAAATAACAAATATCTCGCTGACCAATTTCTTTCTGGGATGCAGCTCGATCTGACTTCAATTCAGGGTCAAGGTAGCTTTTTGCATTGACATGACCCATACGGCGCCACTCGTTGTAAAAATCAGTGCTCCTATCTGGCCGGACGAAT